AGAAAGGTATTGATCACTTTGGCTACTGGTATGACAACAGCCCCCACTATAGATTTCCTCATTTTGAATTGATTCCCAGGTGAATGATAGCTGTCTGGCTTTGCAATCTTCCAGAGGGCTATTGCCACATGCTTCTCCAGGGTCAGAGCGAGTCTCGTTTGGATACTCTAGTGCCTCAGGGTGGGGGAAAACCATTCACAAAGTTCAAAAAAAGTGACCTTGCACGTTCAGAAGTTTTGCAGTCACTGTTGAGCATCCCATCTTTGCATCACAGTGTGATCATACCAGTCTGTGCTTGTCTTGTGGCCCCAGAACCAGCGTTCCACTGTGTCCACAGGACTAACTGGCAGCTGTACTTGCATCAGCACCAGGACTTGCATGAGGAGCAACTCCATGCCAAGCTGAGATTCATCCTCCTCCTCTTCCTGGCAAAGTGACATGCATATACTCACAAAGTACTGCATCATTAGGCACATCACAGCACTCATCATCATCAAAATGATTTGCTGCAAACCTGGATCCACGATCCTTGCTTGTGCTGCTATGATGTCTGCACAGCAAACCAGGAAAAAAAAAAGGCGTGAACAGACTGTTTCTCATTGGTTTCGTGCAAGGAGGGAGAGACTAGAGTTCATTATAGGATGCTGACAATGTTAACCCATAACCACTGGCTACAGAGTTTTGGTCCCAGCAGGCACCAGGAGCATAGCACAGAATGCAAAACTGTCAACAGTGTATTGCTTTTGGAGTACACTATAGGCTTCCTAATTGGGATGCACTATTCAGACTTTATTGAATTCTTCCCCACAGTGAGGACTCAAAATTTGACTTTGCAAAATTAGGTGATCAGAAATCGACCATAATAGTTTCGACCTCATCTTGTAGTGTTGACATAGCCTCGGTCCATCATTGCTGTCATGGCTGATCCCCACTCTGCCACTCCCAAGTGCAAAAGGTGAGGGCCCGCAAGAGACCTTAAAAAAATACCTTGCCTCTACAGCCTCTGTTTATAAAAACTCCCCAAAGTCACAGATTTACTGACTTTGCAGGGTAGCTGCCACCATCAAATGATTTCTCCTGATTCCTTCCTTGTTCAGTTCACTTCTATGCCCCGAATTCCTTGAAGCATGGTAGTCCTGTCTGGATTTAAATCAGGGATGGGCAAAAAGGCCTGTGTGGGTCAGATCCGGCTTGCCAAGTGAGTTAATTGGCCTGTGGAGGCCCTGCCACTCTGCTGCCCCCAAACCAATCAGGGGCTGAGGGCGAGAGGAAGCACACAGTTTCCTCCACTCTGCCCCCACACTGCAAGGAGTGTGCGGTGCTTACAAGCACCACATGCTCCTGGCAGGACAGGAGGAGACTGCACGGTCTCCCATCCTCGTGCCCTGATTGGTTTATGGGTGAGGGGCAGCACATGAAGTTTCCTCCTCCCTGCTCCTCCCATGCAAGGAGTGTGCAGCGCTTAGAAGCGCCACACAATCCTGGCAGGGCAGGAGGAGACTTTGCAGATTGGCCTGGGGGCAGAAGGGAGAGTGTGTGAAGTCTCCTCCCATCACCAGGGAGATAGGCACTTAGGGGGAACCTCTGGTGGGGTCAAAGACTTCATGCACTTCCCCACCACCACCAAACCAATTATGGTCTGTGGGTGGGGAAGCAGGGAATTATCCTGGCCCACCCCTTCCATTCTGGCCCTGCCAGCACACCTTTGTATCACAATTGCTATATATACAAACTATTCCTTCCTCCCTAATTATTTAATCATTTCAGTTTTTATATAAGAGTTCTGGTCTATCTAGTAGGCCATGCATTCACAGTGAATGAAAACAGAAATAAGGAAACAAAGTATAAGTTCATAAGAGGGCTTGTAAACAACATCAAGTTAATAGATAAAGAAACGGAAAAGTGATGTGTGATAAGTTTACAGCTGCAGCTTTGCTTGTTAGGGATGTGAATGGTTAATCGGATACCTGATTAACTGGTAAGCATCAGCCCAGCCAAAGCAGTCCCTGCCTATGGCAGGCCTATGCTGGCCAGAGCAGTGGGCCTGTCTTGGCTGTAGCAGCACGCCATGGGTGAGGATGTTCCAACCGGACCTTGGCGAGTGGAGGGGTGGCTCCAGCCCAGATGGAGTGGCCCTTTCTGGTTTCGTTTAAGCAGTTAACCGGTTAAATATAATGTTTAACCAGTTAAGTGATTAATCAGGATTTTACATCCCTATTGCTTACTAGCAGTTCTGGATCTGTACATAGACTGGCTACAAAAATTTGTAAACCAATTATAAATCATGATGCAATGTAAAATGCCTGCGTTCATTTTGAAATATGTATGTAATCTGCTTTGGAGCTGTGGAAAACACCAATATCCACCCCAATGTACTTGACCTTAATCATTTTAATCTTGTACAGTATTTCTGTGTGTCACTAAAAAAGCACTCAGTGATGAGTTTAGATTTTAGCTAATTTCTTGGAAATTGAGTGGAAAAGGCCTCTGAGAAAAATTCCAATGCCTCTTGCATATAAATGCATGTTGATTTGTTTTAATGCTGGAAGCAGTTTCCAAATCATTCCTTTCTATCCTAAAGACCTCCAAAGTGAGTATTTAAAACCACAATCTAATGTTCTTTACTTCTTTCCAGTCAGTGGGTGACAACTCTCATACACATACATGCCATTGTCCTGCGGTTCGATTTAGTTTAGATCCAAGGGAAACCAGGACATGCTAGGGCTATTTAACCACTTTCCTACTTATTGCAAGTTTTAAGCAGTTAATACAGTTGTTTAAGTTTTACAAGCCTTAAAAACAATGTCTATACAATTTAAACCTTGAATACTATAGATTCTAAAGAAATTAATACAATAATAAAGCCTAATTCACTTACACCTCACCCCTATGCTACCTACAGTACCAGCCAGGAGATCGTGGTTCCTTTTCTTCCCATGCATTAGAATGTCCTGCACTGGGTCGCCAGTGTGAAGGACCTATTTACATTTAGTTACATTGAGCAGGACCTGTGGGTCAAGCCTGCCCATTTCCTCCCATCGATTGTTCCTACTAGGACCAGTTTTATAGCAAAGAGAGACTTGGTCGTTCTAATAATATTTACTAATTGATTACATATTGTGTAGGATATGTAAAATACCCAATGCCTCTATTTGGGGTACATCCTGCTACTCAGGATGTTACCTAAACTATGTGCGTAGTTGACAGTTTCATGGCTGCATGTGTACTTTTTGCTTATTAGAAACAGAAGTACCAGTACGAGTTTGCTTGTTCTGGGTTCTTGACGTTGTCTTGCGTACCCTGCTTAATCTGCATTGTTATTCAAAACATTTCCTGACTCACAGCTTCCCTTGACCATGCCTGCATGCTTTGGCGCACCAGACTTGAGACAGGCCAGAAATCTGCACTGTGAACAAGGCAGACATCACCACAAGGCAGGGTAGTCCAGGCTCCCCTATAGCCACTCAATATCACTTCTCTTTGTGGTTTACACTCAAAATATAGGGTAAATAAGCCATCTCCAAGGAAGAACATTAAGCAGCCAGGAGATTTGACATGATGGTGCTCATTATGCAGCATACAAGAGTCTCACTGTTCAGAGAGGGGATTTATCAAAAAGTTCCCTTAATTTCTTTATTTTAAAATTAATTAAGAATACAATAAAAATTGCAATTGTGTTGTTGTTTTTAATGAGACCCAAATCACTAATAACAGTTACAGTCCAGCATAATCTATTAATCTAGTGTAATGATCTGACATCTAGTTTAATCTGTCAATATATCTTTGCAAAAGTCGATCCATCTGTTCATCTGTAGTGAAAAGTATATCTTTGGGTTAAGTGAAAGTCAGATTTTTCACCATCATTGCAATGAAGAATGGCTGAATAGCTTTTGGGCTTGGACTAGAACATTTTTGTGAAGATTTTATAGGGATCATAGCAGTATAGCAGTAGCAGCTAGTTATTTGCTTTTACAATTTAAGGCTACAATCCTGCAATCTGATCCATGTGGGAAGAGCCTGCGTTCATTTAGAGCTCTGTTACCTTCACTGGGCTTTGTACAACCCTCATGGTTCAGTGGAAATGGTCCAGTTGAATGATTGGGGACAAAGTGCACCTAGCAAGGCTGTAGATCAGACAAGATAATCATCCTCATTTTGCATTTGGGAGGTAACTGAGTTCTAATTTCCAAGCTCAGGTCAAGCATGCTGGTAATTCAATGAACTCATGATTATTTAGTGCAGTTTAGCAGTTTGCTCAGTACCTAGCAAGGAAATACGTGGTTTTTGTCTGTTTGTCTAGACAGGCAATCAGATTGGACCCATCTGCCCACAGGACAGGCACAGTAAGCCTGATTCCAAGCTCAGTGAATTCAATAGTCTTTCCATTGACTTCTGTGAGCTTTGGATCAGGTCCAGCATTGGTAGCAGCTGTGCCAACTATCCTATGCTGCTCAGCTGGTGTTAATCGGTGATGCCAATTCATTCCTTGGGCTTTCTGCCAAACTATCAACAAAAGAGTCCTTGAGGGTGTGGTTTTCAAAGCACTTAAGGCTTGTCTACACTAGAAGCACACAGTAGTGAATCTGGTGAAGGCACTGTAAGTGAGCTGGAGAGAGTGCTTCATCAGCATAATAAATCTACCTCTATGAGAGATGGTAACTATGTTTATCTACCCCTCTGCTTAGAATACTGTAATTTACATCTCTCAGGAGTGTGATCTATTTTACACCCCCTAAGCAATGTAAGTTTTATACCATAGTAAGATCTAGTGTAGATCAAGCTTCAGTGTTGGCCAAACTCTGTACCCTTTGAAGTCACTAGGAGTTGCACCAATAATGATTTCAGAGTTCTGTGTAAATACAGTGTACTTGCTGTCATTGGAATGTAGTTCCTTATCTTAGGACACTGGTGTCTTTGTAACTTAATTCTCCTGTAGTTTCAATCTGTAAACCCCTTGTAAACCTACTGATCCTTACGATGCCTTTTTTCCCTGGGTTTAGATTATGAAAAAGAATGCTGCAATCAGGGATCTCAAAAGCCATCTACTCCATCTGGAGAAGTTCTCTGAAAGCCACATCCAACGCACCAAACATGAAGCAGAGAAACTCCAAAAAGGGGAGCTGCGAACTTCCCAGGCAAAGTGTGCCAAGATACAGCAAGATATAAATCAGCTAAGAGCACAGCTCAATGTTCTCATCACAGACAATCGAGAGTCAGAACTGGCTCTCAGAAAGGTATGGAGGGAAGGGCGTTCTAGAGAGGCAAGGTGACTTGTTAGTGTGCTGTGAGTTTTTCATATTGCCTACTAAGCTTTACCACTGAACTGCTATCGGACATTCCTGGTAAAATATGCCTGCTGTGCGGCTGAACATACAGCTGTAATCTAACATGCTATTGATAAAAAAGCAGCCTCACAGCAACCCATCTGCAAAGAAGCTAATTTGTTGTTACCTATAAATCCCACCAGACATGTACATAATGGGTGCCAGCCTGCCTCTGAAGACACATTCAATACATAGCACAGGTTACACAGTGCTCTAGTAGGTCAATGAAGCAATTAGAATTCATAGCACAAAAATTGCACTGCAAAGTGCAAGGAAGGCAAATTTATATTGCAACCATCAGAAGAAACGGTCAGTCAGACAACATCCTCACCTTCCACTTAGCTAGGTGCTATCCAAACAAACAATCCTGATTCATCCTCCTGATCACTGGCATCTCCAAAGCTTTACAATTGGTGGTGGTGTTCCTGCTGGAGAGTGGAAGAATTGTATAGCAAAAATCTATAGTGTTAAAAAAACTTTTTTTTAAAAATCCGTGCTCAGTCCAAATAGATCAATTTACAGGCAAAACATACCTACTTAAAGATGTTTACGCTATATGTCTGTTCTAGCTCTTTCCAAATATTTTACAGTCCAAGGTAGAATAATGCTTTATCTGTAGGGACATTGCCAAAGTGTTGAATTAAAGATTACAAAGCAGTATGAAATCCAAGTATCCCCATCCATTCTTAGGCCTGCTTTGTCATTCAGCTCAAATTCAAGCTGTCAGTCATTCCTCTCTCTCTCTCTGTGTCTTTGGTTTGGGGTTTTTTTGTTTTGTTTTTTTGTAAAAAGCTGGTTAGCTCACAATATATGCTGACAGAGAGACAAGTGGGAGAAAGAAAACACAAGCCCTCACTACTGGAACCTTTCCCATCCTACATGCTTTATTCTCCAAAGACCGAATATTTTAATTGGATTGAGGAATTCATCTGCAAACAACTGGGAATTGTCATAGTCCGGTCCACCTCACTTAAAATAAGGAGCTGGTTATTGGGGCCCATCAAAAACCAGGTTCTGATAGCATCCATGCAGAAGAGGTATGGTCAAATAGGAAACTGGGTTTCCTAATAGTTAAGCTTAACTGGGTGAAATTCTCTGCCCTGCAATGTAAAGGAGGTCAGACTAGATGATCTTCTGATCTTAAAATCTAAGTGGTTCTTAGATTGCAGATATCATCAGTTTGAGGGAAACTGCTTGTCAGTAGCTTTATAAGATTCACCATACATGGAGTCGAGTCATTTTTATCCCATTTTCCAACTTTCCAAAATACTTCTTTATTTTAAATGCACCCATCATTATAATCCAGATAGTGTTGCTGTGCTGCAACTGAAACCCATCCACTTACTGTAAACCAAGTAAACTCCATATTCCTTAGGTGGATGATGTCTGCTCTCCGTAAGAGACCCCGAGATGGATAATAAAGACATCTTGGACCAATGAACCTTTCCAAAAGGCGCAGGCATCACATTCAAGCATACTAGATGCTGGGATTTAAACATACAGCTCCTTTCATCCCTGCATAGTGGATGTTATGTTTCTATATTCAGCTGCCTGTAAATGTTTTTTTTTTTCCTGTGTCATTTATTTTAGAAAAAATACAAAGTGGAGATGGAAATTGAGAACTGGATCCAGAAATATGATGCTGAAATGGGAGAAAAACAGGTACCCTCACTGGTCAAGACAGTTGGCTCTTCTTTGAGAGGGCTTGTTCATGTGGGTCCCACTCAAGGGATGTGTATGATCTACCCAAACAAGCCATCTAAAAGAAGAACCATGATTCTTATCAGGCAAATAACCATTTTTCTGCCCTGCTTTTGTGTTCAGCTGCTCTCTACTGTCTAGGCATTGTTGAGAAGAGTCATATCATCTGCAAAATCTATCCTATTCTAGCATTAGATGATTATTTCCTCACTTTGTTAGATGGAATTGTTATGCTTGATTCCTTAGAGTTACTGGCTCTACCTAGTATACAAATCAAGTGCTTTTTCCACATCACTACTAACTTGTTAGACAGCTAGTTCAGAGTATAGAGAGTGACAGCAAATGCATCATTGCCTCTCTTCCACATTAAGCTTAATAGTCTTAGAATCGTGTCCAAACCACCAAACCCTTCCTAGAATCCACTAATTCCTCACATGTTCCTAGCATCTTAGTGGATCTCTGCTTGGTTAACAGCAAAGTAAGGGACTAAGGAGGGGGACATGGAAAATTGTTGAGAATGGGCCTTAATAGTAGGTCCCATGTAATAACATGGTAGGAAGCAGAAACCTGCTGGTTCTTGGCTGCCCATGAAGCCATCATCATGAATATAGTGACAGAAACTGATGAACTCGGGTTGGTAGGGCTGACACACAGATGTTTCTGATTCCCCTTATTCTATCCTATGAGCATGTTATCTCCATAATACTTATTTTCATCCCTATAGATGGTTTATAATGACAATAAACCACAATCATCCATCTAATTGTGTTTATATCACAGGGAAAAAGTTGCTTAAGAAATTGAGTGTTGTGGCCTGGTCTTGCAGGACACAGTTTTTAAAGATGCCTAAAGGAATTGGGCACCCAACTCCCAGTTGGGTACCTCCTTTTAGATCTTACTCATTTCATCTTCTGAGATGGAACTTTTAAAGAGCTATAAGTGGCTCTGCACACATTTGTGATGGATGAAATGATCCCTAAACATAGAGGCTGCGTCTACACTGCAGGCTTTTTGAGCAAGAACAGTTGTTCTTGCGCAAAAACCTGCCAGGTGTCTACACTGCACGTGTGTTCTTGCACAAGTAAATATGCAGTACAGCGTCAGAAAACAGGTCGTCTTCTGCAAGAGTTATTCCTCTCCCCACAAGGAGTAAGCCCTCTTACGCAAGAAGGCAGTGTGGACAGGCAATGGGTTTCTTGCACAAGAAAGCCGTATGGCTAAAATGGCCATCAGAGCTTTCTTGCGCAAGAGAGCGTCCACACTGCCATGGATGCTCTTGCGCAAAAGCACATGGCAGTGTGGACGTGCTCTTGTGGAAGACCTTTTGCACAAGAATTCTTACGCAAAACATTTCTTGCACAAGAAGCCTGCAGTGTAGACATAGCCAGAGGGTCTGTAATGCTTTTTGGGATCCTCCGGGAAAGACATTACCAATGGGAAATATAGGGTGATGTTATGAATGTCATGAATAACTCTGTTTGCGTCCCTACCAGACTGAGTATGAGGAAGTTGATGCTGTCTATACTGAAGAGAAGGCCCAGCTAGCTGAGTTGAAGGAGAAGTATGCTATGCTTGAACAAGAATATTCCCAGATCAAGGAGGAGAGGAGGCTATCTCAAGAGAAGAAGGAAAGGGCTGAGAGGGAACTAGCTATCATGGTCCGTGCTGCCACTCACATTCAGGCCTTCTGGAAGGGCTACTTGGTCAGGTCACTGTTAAAGTCAAAGAGAAAGAAGAAGGGAAAAGGCAAGAAGAGCAAAAAATAAATTAGTTCCATCCTTTTTCCCTCCCTCTCTTGCAACATTATAGGAATTTCCTCTTGGACCTTATCTGTCTAGAATGTTTTCGCTTCAGCCAGACAAACACCCTCTCTAAGACTGTGGTTTTTATGTACACAAATCTGGCATGTAATAATGATTCTATTATAAATAAATATCAACGAACATATTAGACTTCCAGGTATATTAATTCCAGATATTTTAATTGCTTTTGGTCTGAATTTAAGAGAAAAAGGATTATCTTGTAGTTAAGACACTACATTGAGGATTGGGACTCCTGGACTTTATCCCCAACTCTACCACTCACACACTGCGAAACCTAGTAGAAATTACTCAGGGTCCACTCCAGCCCCTGCTGTGGTCAGTAGCAAAATTCCCACTTACCCTGGTCCCAGAGCAGACCCCTACCACAGACCTGTGTTTCTTATCCAAGGTATAGTCTAGACTAGTGAGTGCTGTGTTACCTCTGCCCTCTAATGTGGGGTGTCTTTTACCCTGCTTTGTTGTTGTTGCCTGCACTCCTGGACTGACAAAGTGATATTTTGTCTGAAACAGCAGGAGTGAAAGCATAACAAGTGGTGAATAGGAATGCTTCCGAGAAAAGTACAAGGGGAGATACCAAATGTCATTAACATGTAAGATAATACATAAGATATGTATGATAGATTGTTTATCTCAGTCTATAAATGTTGGGATATCTTGACTTAACTCTTTGGCCAGACTAGGAGGCAATAGTGAAATCCCTATTGAGCTGTGTCCACTGTCACAGCTACATATATGTAGTAGCTCAGTGACTATCTGGCTACTGACAACTATTACTGTAGTTGGTTCAGAAGTAAACCTGACCCAGGTGCCTTTATATTTTATGAGTCTGTGATCTTTGGGGGCTTTCTTGAAGTCTATTATGCTAGCTGTTTGTGCAGAGTATGAGATATACAGAGGAAGCATACAGAAACACACGCCGCTGAACATTTATCATCCTTGACAAACCTGCCGGGACGCCACATCACTGAATCCTGATATACTACATTGCTGTCCTGCCCTACTGCACATACAAGGAAATGGACTACACTGATCAACAGTATTACCTATATTATCACTATTGAGGATAGGTAGTATCGTCAATATTTTATGGACTATGAGCACTGAGTCTTTGCTGATATCAAAGGCTATTAAATTCTAAGACTAAATAGAATCCTTGGCTATTCACTAAGGATATGAAAGATTAACCATTTGCCTGGTTAACTGGTAAGCATCACCTTAAATGGGGGGATACTTACTAGTTCTGGTTAACTGGTAACTAGTGGGGACTGGAACAGCTCCTACTCCAGCCTGACAGGAAACCTGACACAGACAGGAGCTGATTTTGTCCGGTGTCTGGAGCAGCCTCTGTTTGCGGGGAGCTCAGGCCTGCTGCAGACATGGGCTAGTCCAGTGGGGGCTGGGAGCCAGGAGCTAGGAGCTGACAGCAGTCCCAGCCCACAAGCAGAGCCAGCCTTAGCCCCAGCATAGGAGCTGAGAGGTAGGAGCCAGTAGTCGGCCCTACCGTGGGACTGGAGGTGGAAACCTCATGGGCTGGGGGCTGCTCCAGCTGGGCTGGAACAGTCCCCAGCCCAGCTCTTGCTTAGTCAGTTAACCTGTTAAACATTGTCAACCTAACATTTACCTGGTTAACTAATTAACCAGGATTTTATATCCCTAGTATTCACACTGAACTCTAAATAACTAGGTCTCTTCTGAGCTTAAAGTCTATGGCTGAGTCTAGACTGGCACGTTTTTCCACAAAACATGCCAGCTGTCTACACTGGCCGCTTGAATTTCTGCAAGAACACTGACGATCTCATGTAAGATTGTTAGTGTTCTTGTGGAAATGCTATGCTGCTCCTGTTCAGGCAAAAACCCTCTTGCGCAAATGCTTTTGCGCAAGAGGGCCAGTGTAGAAAACGCGGTATTGTTTTGCACAAAAAAGCCCCGATCGCGAAAATGGCGATTGACAAAGGCTTTTGATGTCGACCACTGATTGTCCAGACTACTGCGCTGAGCCGACAAACAGCTGATTGGCACAGCGTGGCAGCCATTTTGATGTAAATGAAGCAGCTATTGTTTAAATCGCCATTTCATTTTTCTATGTCTACAAAGCTCATCTAGATGGCTCCGTTGACAGAGCCATGTAGTGTAGACATATCCAAAGTGTTACTGAACTTTGCTCCAAAACAGTTAACAGTGACATGACAAATCTTTCTTTGCTGTGTTGTTTCCTGGGTGCTTGGGTCAATCTGACATGCTTTCCAGTTTGTTTCCAATGTGTCTGCATTGTATGGACTGGCCACCAATGTTGCCTCTAATTTTTTCCATTCATGTGCAGATTTTTTCCATTCGTGTGCAGAATACTTTTTATGAACACTGAGACATGTGTGAATATGCACCGCCAATAGAAACACAAAACCCAGCTGTGGGCAGTCTGCAAATCAGCTGGGCATCATTTGAATTTCTTCTGACTGGATGCACAACGGCACAGCTTCCAGGGTGTAATGTGACAGGTAACCTGGGGGCACACTGAGGATCAGATCAGGGTGAATTACTTAGAACTGGGGCTATTTACATCCCAAGACTGGGGTCCTCCTCTATAAAGGGACCAAACCAGTCACACACAGCAATCCAGCAGGCCAGCAAGAAGTCTCATAAGCAATTCCCTAAGACACCTCAGCTTTATCTATGCCACAACCAGCACCATATCTTACACAGATGAGAGGTTACAAAAACCAATCTCACCAAATCTGAACAGGTTTTCCTGGTCCCAACAGACCAGTCCCAGTGCCAGGTCAATTTATACCTCAGATCTTACCCTAAATAGCATGTTGGGCCAATCTGTTATCTAAAATCTAAAGGTTTATTAATAAAAAGGAAGAAAAGGTTGAGAGTACAATTGTTAAAGAAAATACATTACATACATCAATCACCAAGTTTTTGATGCAGGTTTTTAGCAGAGATGTAATAAACTGCTAGCTTAAAAGTCTCTGGAGGACATCCTTTGTTAGGATGGGTCAACGGTCCTTCCCAGATCTCTTCTTTAGATCAGTTTCTTCTGGAGCAGAGAGCAAGAGTGAAGACCAAGATGGAGGCCTCCCCAGGATCCTTTCATAATCTTGCCCACACGGAGGAAAATCCATTTTTCTCCTGAATGATGAGGGTGTCTTGCAAAATGGAGCTGATCACATGGTTAACTAACCTGCCCATGTCCTTTAGGCAAGCAGCCATGGTATATCTGCTTGTCTGCAGGTTCTCAGCAGAATTCCTCAGATGTTTATTGGCAACACTTAAAAGCCATTGTCCATGTGGCATCGAGTAACGCCTCTCACAGTAGGTGTTCAACGCCTCCTGCTATCTCCCAGACAGAAAACATTTAAAATAGAAGTACAGAGCCCATATTCATAACTTCTCATACAAAAAATCACACATATATATGAGCAGCATAAGTAGACTCAGCACAGAATAAGCTTTCATTAGATACCTCACTTGGCCCAATTTGCACAGAATTTGGGGCTAACATGTAGCAGTGGGTGCATCAATGATCTGCCAGTTCTCATTAAAATCTCATTAAAATTAACGTGGCATAGGGAACACTGCTGTCCACAATAAAATATGACTTTGGGTATCCTCAAGTCATCCAGATACTTGACAATAATTCAGGATTTTGATACTTTGAATCTTGTTCCATCCTTGACCCCGGAAACATCATAGGTAGCTCATATGGAACTGATCTAGTTTCCTATGTTGTCCAAGTCCCACAACCACACAGAAATGTTGTAAGTGTTCATGTTCAATGGAAATTTAGCTTAGGGCTTATTTTGATGCCTCTATCATTCCATAGAAATTGTTCTACGATTTCTATAAATCATTCTAGTATTCCATAGACATTTAATTTAGGGTTTATTTTTGATGCCCTTATCATTCCACAGATAGTGCTCTTGCATTCCAAATTTAGAATTGACCTTGGCTATAGGATGGGCTCCCTCATCATCGATTGTGGCCTTCTGTGACAGCATATCTTCTAGATAGGAAAACTTCTCTCTGAACTTGAAAGGAGCATTGTTGATCTTACTGCTTGAGTAAAGGTGCATTCCATGACACAGGTTGACACTGCACATCAGTTTTCCTTAGGCTGACTGTGAAGCCAAAAATGATTGACTACATGATCAGCTAGAAATGGAACGTCCTCAGTTGTGTGAGCAACATTCACAATTATCACCAAATAAAATCTCCTTACAAAGTACATGTTGCCACTTTCTAAGCACTGCAGATTGAATAAATTCCTATCAATGCAGAACTAGATAAATCCTCCCGTCAATATCATGAAATGCATCTGTAAGCACAGCTGAAAAAAGTATGGAAAACAACATGAAAGCCAGCACACTGCCTTGTCTGGTGCCTCTGATGACCAGAAACGGGGTCTGCAGTGAAGACTAATGCAAAAAAATCACCTAGTTTCTTCACAACACAGCTGTATTTTCCTTCAGTGCTGCTTCAGTGCCTTAATGATCTAGTGACTCTTCTAATGTTTGGTAGACTTCTTGCTTCTGATGTACTTAACTTTTGTGTGTGTGTGGGGGGGGATTTGTTTGGGTTTTGTTTGGTTTTGGTTTTTTGGGGTTTTTTATTTTTTCGTAGCTGCTCTTCAAATTTTTTTTGAACTGCCTAATTATACTTCTTCCCTTGCCGTGCCACAGTTGATGCTCTTTTCTATTAGATATCAATAGAAAGCCAGTATTATACTGATCATTTCATAGTGTACATATGATGAACAATAGGGATGTAAAACTGAGTTTAATCAGTTAACCAATTAAAGGGGGGACAGGGAAGAGGCTGTTTCAGCCCCGCAGCATTCAGAGACTGCTCTGGACCCCAGAGCAGCTCTTGCCTGAGGGGCGCCTGGGCCCACCACCGGACAGGGGCTGCTCCGGATGACCCGAGCCCGGGCCCACTGTGGACAGAGAGCCCCATCCATGGTGGACCCTGCAAGTGCTAGAGTAGACCCCTGTCTGAGGTGGGTAAGGAGCTGTTCCAGCCCCCACCGGTTAACTGGAACCAGTAAGCATCACCTATTAAGGTGGTTAACTTGTTCAGGTGGTTAATCAGTTAAGCTTTCATATCCCTAATGGAAAAATTTAAAATTA